AATTCTACGAGGTCTATTTTTGACTTTATTTGTTGGGACTGAGATATAGTAAAAATAAAAGTTAGCAACTTCTATGATATACGCTTTTTTTAACTGTGTATCGTTTCTAAAAAATAAAATCGATGATATATCTCGTATGATTTCTGCAGTTTTGTAAGCTGAAAACAGTGTTGAAAACCGTGTTCTGAAATTTTATTTAATAATTGAGATATTGATTTTTAAAAATACGTTATGCAAAAATTTCACTAAAATTAAAAAAATATATATGATCACAAGCTGTTTTTAACAAAATTGCCCTTGCGTTATATAAAGAAAGTTATGGACAACATATATTTAAAATTTGAAAACTATAGATCTGTTAATAACGGAGATATTACATTTTGAAAATAGAGCGAAAATTCCGCTGAGAAAACGTAGGGACTGGCCTTAAAGAACCTACTTCATTTTTCACCAATTTTATGAAATTTTCTACTGACAAACTATTTGCAACTATATGGTTTTGATACTTTCGAAACAAAAGCTCAATAGTGTATACAAATTGAAATAATTCTACACTTGCAAAATGTAAAATATTTTCTTTGTACTCTTTTAATTTCGTAAAAAAAAACTCAAATTGGTATGTTCACCGTTTGTGGTGACACTCTTATAACATGTGTCACAAACCAGAAAATTTGATTTTATTTTAAAAACAATCGCCCCAAGTAAATAATATAGGCTATTTATTGTTCTGCATCAGTTATTGTTCCACCTGCAATTTTATCAATATCTTGACAATACTTGACAATATAGGTTGCATCATCATCGTCATAACTACTCCGTTTCCCACTAGTCTCAAACTGCGACAGACACACTAATCTCAAGGACAGTTTGAACATACGCGCGTCAGGAACAGGCTGCCGACATCTAATTGATTGAAAAGAATTTTCTAGAGCTTCCTGGGTTAATCGGGATAGCAGGACATAACCAAACCCTTCTTCTTCTAAATATTTTTTTTGAAAATTCAGGGCAGTTTCCGTGGATAAAATGATCCCAGTTTGGAATGGCATCTAAGTGTGATTTACAGACATGTGGTAGATAATGTTTTGTACAGATTTTAAGAATTCTATGTTTTCATTGTAAACATCTTCATTCTTTAAGGATAATGCGTAGGTGTGGAAACGCCTAATCGTTATTTTGAACCATCTGTATATGGTTTCTATGAACCATGCTGTCGTTCTATGTTCCAAAGCAATTTTGTTTTCTGCAATATGGTACAGAATAGCTGCTGAAACGTCGTGATTGAGTAGTGCAACGCTCAATCCCACATTCATTTTTTCGAAATGAGATGGGTAGATCCCATTGTGTTTTAAACGTGGACATAATTTGACCACATCACCACTATCGATTTCATACACTTGTTGAATAGGTGCTATCGACACTTCATTTGAAGGAAAGTTGTACCTTGCAACAACAGAATCATTTAAAATGATTACCCTTGGTAAAGGCTGCAGCTAAATTTTTGAACACATGCACTGGATCAGGCATAAAAAAAAGTTTACGGTCAGTGTAGCAAGGATGTGGAATATAATTGTTAATTTTGCTGTGTTTTCCAGCCACAATATTTAACATTTTCCATAAGCTTCGATTTTGTGCACCCATGTCAGAAATAACTGCCTCAATCTTTATTCCAGTAGTGTCACATCTCTTAATAATTTCAATTATCCGACTATATACATCCTGAACACAGAACGACTTCCCTGTAAAGTCGTATGCCACGATCTGCTTCCATCTCGTAGAAACTCCGGCGAACATATACACCATGGGTAGCTAATTCGTTTGAATTTTGCTTGCCATTAGATTGTTTCACACTTGGTGCTCCTATTACAATGGAAAGTGTGTTGTCATATTGCAATCCACGTTTTATTGCCATTTCATCAAAGATGAGAGTAGCGTGTTTTTCTTTTTCTTCGAACATGTCTACCTGAAAAAGCAAAGTTTAAGAAAATAATTGATTTGTATGAAACCAAACAGTTTTTGTCTATTAACTTATTATTAACAAATTATATGTAAATGCAAAATTTATAATATAAATATATAAATAAAATAGAAAACTATCTAGTTTAGTCAAAAATAATTTGGTACCATATTATCAGACCATTCAGTGTGTGGTATTATTCCTTCACCAATACTAACTTTAAGTTTTAGTAAATCAAACATTTCGTCTAAAATACCTGGACGAAACTTTAGATTTCTGATTCGATGCTGTAGTGTTCGAGGGGTTGGATATGGTAGCTTTTGCGCACGAATTTCTTCATATCCCTTCAATCCACAAGCCATGTATAGTTTCAATGCTTTTGTTATGATATCTGGAGACCATATGGCACCTCTACAAGTGTTTGTTTCCAAAAACGTGTGGCCCATTGACGCCACACCTGTTTATATACTACAAAATGCGTTCTAATTAAAGCTGTTCGTACTGCTGTGTTTTCGTTATTAAAAATTCCAACATTGTCTCCTAAGTGTATTTCGTTAACCTCTGGTGGGAGGACGATCTCGGGGTCGCTTGGAGGTTCCTCTTCATTGGCAATAATTGCTAGGTTGTGGAGAACACAAGAAGCGACGATAGTTTTTAATGTTGTCTCCATCTTTGTCCGTAAACCAATAAAAAGGCAAGGAAATCGTTTTTTCAGGACGCCAAAACATCTTTCGATCGGATTTCTTGTAGCTCTATGGCAGTTGTTGCATGCTTATCTCTGGTATTGTTTGTGGACGAATTAGTGAATTTAAAATAAATGAGCGACAGGTATATCCACTACCACCCAATAAAAATCCATTACCATTGCGGGCATTTTCGAGATCAGCACTTAAAACGGAATCGTTGAAGATGGTGCTGCCGTGGACGCTACCTTGCCATCTTGCCACAATGTTTAACATTTTGATACTTGCGTCACATACGGCTTGGATATTAATGGAAAAGTAGTTTTTTCTTTTTCTAAAGATTTCGGCCTCGAGTCCGCCTGGAAATTCAATCCGTATGACTGCAGTCAGTCACATTGGGCATTTTACGTGATGTATACAACCCCAGTTTTACATTTTGTAATTCTGCTTGTGTTGGCATCTTGATGTATCGGGGCTTCAATTCTGCAATTTTACGCACAGCTCTTTGTATTATAATACAGGCCGTTGATTCAGGAAGACCAAACGTATCGCCCACTAATTGTTGAAAGGCCCCTGTTGCCAAAAATCGCATTGTTAATAGTACCTGGTTTAAGGCAGAAATCGATTTTCACCGATTACAGGTAGGTTGTAATTCCGCACCAAGAATATCACGCAGTCACAGAATTGTTTTTTTGTTGAAACGAAATTGCATCTTAAATTCCTGTTCATCGTACAGTTTGAATGGATTTGTTATATCTCTTAAAGCTCTTCCCCTCCGCGGAATCCTTTGTACAACGTTTTCTTCGTCCGATGATGATGATGATGAGGACGATATATCGGATAAATGAAACATCCCAAAATTGAAGATAAAATAAGTATGCAAAATATTGTCGAATATCATAAAGAATTAAGAATACATTTATTGTTTTATTGCTTACGTTTGTAATAATCGTTAGATTTTCGTTATTTTGACAAAATTTGTTCACTCGTCACAAATACGCGAAACGTCAGATCGGGCGAATTGGCGAGTTAATTGAAGTCGCCACTTCGATTAAGTTAATCGTGTGATTAACATTTTGATTAAGCGTGATGAGCGTGATTTCGCTTTTGTAAACCGATATCATGTTTAATTGTGTGATTAATGTCGTTAATAGCGAATTAATTTAACACAAAATTAAAATCTAATTTTTTATACGACCATCGCTTTTTCGATCATTTACCGTATAGGTTTCCATAGCAGTAAGTTCAGTTTACGGGTTGCTACGACTAACAACTAATGCCCGTTTGCACCGAACGTTTCTTTAATCTCGGTTAACTAATCGTGATTAAGCCTTAACCATGATTAAATTTCGTCTGGTTTGCACTGCACCTCGGTTAGTTAAACAGTGGTTAAATGATAAGTTGTGATAAAATAGGTTGGTAGCACTAGTTATGTAGTGACAAATTTAATAATACATTCACTTATGGTTGGTATAAATTTGGATTTAAAATTTGTGGACGTAGAAACGGTGAAAAAAAGTTCAATGGAAAGTTCATTTATTAACAAGGTGTATAGCTTGTTAGTTGTGTTCGTGCTGTATCCGGCTTATTTTGATTTTAAATACTATTTGTGATCTTAAGATGGAGAGTGTAACACCAGTAAAAAGACAACGCTCTACCAGAGAACATAGAGAAGCGACATAGAGGCGGATTTTGCAAAACCACCCTTATTGACATTGGAGTCCTCAATCGCCAAAGGTAAGCGCCAAATTTAAATAATCGATGCCAATAAAAATCTTGCTTCACTATAATTGTAATTCATGTGACCTGAATGAAAGTAAAGGAAACAGTAAGCAGCTTGTAATATTCTGGTAAATCTAGTGTCAATTTGTGGAAAATAAAACGCATCGTTAAAAATATTATGACATTTCTTCTAGTTACTTATATTCCTAGTTAGAAACAAACACTGCTACTAACATAATTTGAGAAGTCCTCAACCGTCATTTGATTTAAACTATGACGCTTCTCTATGTTCTCTGTCTCTACAAACTTCACACAGGAAGAAAAGAGGTTGTGTTTACAATTGATTGGCAAATATAGCTCTATCATTGAAAATAAAAAGACCGATGGAGCTACAAAACAAAAAAGGGACCAGGCGTGGAAATTTGTCACAGATGAATTTAATGCCACTTCACCATCTCTAGTAAGCCGTACATGCGAAGCTCTGAAAAACATGTACGAAAACCAAAAAAGGAGTGCCAGAAAATATACTGCAGAAGAAAAACCACAGCGACGTAGAACTGGTGGAGGATCTGCAGATGTAAAAGAAGATCCCCTAATGGATATTACCTTAAGCATTTTAAATCTAAAAACGGTAGACCATCCCTGCACCAGCAACATTGTTATTAATTGGGTAGGCATCAGGTATTTGCCCATTTTCAATAAGACCATTTAATATGTGTTCGTCCAATTCATCTGGAATTGGTGGCGGTTCTTCATCGCCCATTTTAATGGCTATGTTGTGTAGGATGTTTGCTGCAACTATAACAGTTCGAACTGTTTCTATTTTTAGGCGACATCCATATGCAAGAATTGGAAACCGGCTTTTCAATACCCCAAAAGATCTTTCAATAACATTTCTTGTTCTGATGTGTCTCATATTGTATTCTTCTCGGTGTCCTCTTGGTCGTAATAAGGGCGTGAGCAAATAATATTTTTTTTTGGGTAGCCACTATCTCCTACAATTACTAATAGTACAATGGGAACCTATATGTTTCATCGATACTTTACCTAATAGAAAACAATTCCTAAAAGAAGGGGTATTCTCCAAATTGTGTTTGAGGGCACAGTTATTAAAAATTGTTGCATCATGAACTGAGCCAGGCCATCGAGCAACTACATTTAAAATCTCCAGTTTTGAGTTGCAAACCATTTGAACAAAAGTACGATTTCCGATTGCGGTATATTTCACCTTCATTACCCCTTGGAAAAAAAAATTAAGTTATTACACAAGAAGTGACTACCTGGCGATTGTATTTTGATATGCGTGCAGTCAATTGCCCCAATAACTGTTGGAAATTGTGCTACGTCATAGAAGTCCTGTTGTATTTTTCTCAAATTATTTTCAGCTTCGGGCAATTTTATATACATATTCCGCAAGGAAGCTATAGCTTCCGATACCCTTACAACAATTCGAGATACTGTTGACAAATGCATTCCCATGTAGTCTGCAATTTGATCAAGATGTCCACCAGTTGCATACAAGCGTAAACAGGCTAGTAACTGGTTCATTGGAGAAACACAATTATTGCTGAAACAAAAATTAATTTGTACAAAGAAATTCACAAAAATTATTTTATGCAATCGCATAACGCTATTTTGCATACTTACGCATCTGTAGGGTACTCCAGTTGTTCTTCGATCATGGGCAGCAATTGTAAAACACACTCTTTTGTCAATTGAAATTCTTTACGAAATGTTACCGCGTTCAATTCATCAAAGTAATTTTGTCTCAGGTAAATTTGTCTTGGCACACCATACTTTACTAAATCCAACACTTCCAAATCGTCATCGTCTGCGATGTCAATTTCTAGATTCATGTTGATAGATTTCTCTAACTAGTTAGGTTAGATAACTCTAACCTAACTTCTACGACTTCGACCACCACGAACATGAAATAAACAAAACAACAGCTGACGAGCTGTCACGTGTTTCGTTCCAAGTACTACGTACTACGCAAGCGCGTGGTTCTTAATTTTGGTCACACTCTTTAACCGAGCTCTAACCGGCCGACGTTCGACCGATTAAGTAACCGAGGGTTTAATCTTCGTTAATGAGCTGGTGCAACGGAATTCGTAGCTTAATCATGGTTAAAAATTTAACCGGTCAACGTCATTGATCTATGAGATCCTGATTTACTCATCTTGTCCCGTTTTTTGTGAAACCAGCTGCAAGTCAAATAAACTATCAAAAAAACTGAGAAGACAAAAATTTTTAATAAAATATAAAATAACTAAACACAAAAATAAAATATTTAATTAAGAAACTAGTCCAGAAACTTTGAAAATACCACGACTGTTTATCCGTTGGGGTGGATTAATTTTTTGCATAATATCAGTATCTTTATTGTACTGCAGTTTGTCAGGAGTTTGTGGCCATCTCCAGTTGCCAAACTTTGATTTTGTCATAACATTGACTTAGACGCTTTCTTTGGTTGCAGCTTCAATAATACCAGGATAACATTCTTCTTCGTAAAGGACTATCACGCAAGAATTGATTTCCAGATTTTGTTTGTCAAGAGGTTGAGGAGGTAATTCAGATGTTGATCCCTCACCATTGTCATGTATTGGGGAATGTTTCTTCCGTTTGACAGTCTTTTTAGTGGCAATTCTTAGTTTTTATGGTTGATGGTAAAGTGAACTATTCGCATTCCAAATACACCCACATAAAACTTTATGACAGATAATGAGCGAAAATCCTGCACAATGGCAACAGTCATTATTATAGTATTCTGTAGAAATTCCAACACCATTGCCACAACCTTCAACCAGCCAAGCTTCCACCAGCCAAACGTCCAAGAAGAAAAAAAAAAAAAAGGTGCCCGGGGGCACATATATTCAACTTTCAGCGCCAAATTGGGCGCCATTACATTGGATTACAGAGTTGTATTTATTATCGTCAGTACAAGAGTTTGGGTGGTCAAACTCAGTTTGACCACCTAACACGGGGCCGCAAATCGGGGTAAAGGTATATTGCACTTCGCGGTATCCTAAGCTATCTGGCACTGTTCACACTTTTAGAGGCCTTTTTCACAATGAGCACAGATTTCACAACCACTGCTGAGCACTCATCTATTTTTGTCGGGGCGTGTCCAGACCAAAGGGTAAGGGACTGGGGGGTTGTGAAGACCCTTGCTGCGTTGGATCCAGTGCCTATGTTGCTTCGTTGTCGTCGCGGGCGAATCCTTCAAGAAACTCCAGCGGGAGCTCCGGAAGTCGGTGTAAACAGATGGGTTCTGGGGTTCTGGCAATGAGGTTAGATCGTTCATCCGTGAACAAAGGGCAGGCAAGAATGCGGTGTTGCGGATCGTCTCGTTCATGGCAGTGTTGGCATAGGTCATCTTCGGACTTCCCTATCCGGTGAAGATGGGCCATGAAAGGACCATGTCCACTTAGCGTTTGCGTGCTAAGCTTTGAGAAAGAAATGCGAGGGAGTTCAGGGACAGTAGGGAAGAAGGAGAAGGTTGTTCGACCTTTGTTGCTGGTTTCCCATCGGTGCTGCCAGAGATCTAGCGTCAGGTAGTGGAGGTATTCTTTTATTTGGAGATGGTTTTCAAAATCGGACTTTTTGATGATATGTTCCATGTAGTGCGCCTCCGGTCATTTCTTTAGAATGCTCTTGCAGGTTCTGTGCCAGATCGCTAGGTCTAGGGGAGCAACCCCTGCCAGTACACTCGCACTCCAAGAAGACTGCGACTCCACGTCGCGGGATAAAACGGCGGGCCCTTTTTAATTCTCAAGGATGCGAAGATAATTTTTCAAAGCTCCTTCGAGAAGAACAAAGGGGCAATGACTTTCGCGAGAGGCAAGCTGCAGCCCTCGAAAAACAAGCTGAAGCTACCAAAAAATTGGTAGCTGTAACGGAGCGCATATATGGTATGTTGGACGAAAAAGTTCCAGCTCCAGCCACACATATCTTGCGACTAGTGATAGTACCACAAGTGATACGAAAAGAAAACAGGTAGGTATTAACTGTTAGATAACTTTTAATTGAAATAAAATTGAATCACCCTAGCACGATTTTGCTAGATCATATTTCCAAAATGGGCTTCATGTTCATTTGCAACAGTTTGTGCAAAAAGGTCTTCGTCGTCGTGGTCGTCCATGTAATTTTGGATTTCGTGTTCTGCAGGTAGTGGCAAATTGCGATGAATCATTATATTGTGCAAGATACTGCAGGCATTCATAATAGAACCCGCCTTTATTTTAGCATTCTCTCCTTAATCAAACACTGAAATCTTGCTTTTAAAATTCCAATGCATCGCTCAATGCAGGATCTGGCCCTCCGATGGGCAACATTGAATCGATGCTGGGGTGAATTTTCAGGATTCCTAATTGGGCTGACGATGTATGGTAATAAAGGGTAACCTGTCACTTCTTATGAAACGTTGGTGTAAAACATCGTTTATATGACTGTTTCTCCATATAAAGGCGTCGTGGCTTGCGCCATCATGTGTCGCATTTATGGAGAAAATTGTATTGTTGGGCCCACACATCTAGGAAATTCTAGATTAAAAACAAGGATCATCATAAAATGACAGTTAATACAATCTGAACGTTTTTGGAATGGTATCCTTTACGGTTCAGGTACTGATGTTTTACATCAACCTTTGGCTTTGTGATGGCAATATGGGTGACATCAACAAAGCCAATCACCCCTGGCACATTGAAACGTTCCATGATTCTATATGAATAAAGTAAATGAAACATTTGGATACTTGTAGCAATATATACGTTGCTTTAATTCCAGGGTACTCTTCTTGGCCTGGAAAGTTGACGAAACCATGCAAATGAGTTTCGATACCGGTAGCTACCTCGGTTATGGCAAGGGAAATCTGAGATTGTGACAGATTAATAAAACAATCCTGTCCCACCCAACGTTGGTAGCTACCGCTAGCGAAAAATCTCACTGCCGCCAAGATTCTTTGTTCTTTCGAAATTTTGTGCCCTCTAGTGCCCCCAGCCAGATGAGGCTCCAGCATATTGATCAGTTCCCTCATGGTTTCTTGTTCAATCGGAATAATTCCATAAAACTAGAGAAATTTGTGTATCTTAAATAAATGAAATGAAATTTTGAAATTTTAACTATTACCAAGCGTCGCTCAAATCAAATGTCTCATAATCGTCGCGGAAACGTTGCTTTAGGCGTCTCAAGTAATTATTTCCGCCGTTGTTATTTAGGTAAGGAAAAAAGCGAGCCATTTTGCAAAGTTTTTGTTAACGTTTCGGTGTAAAAGTTCGTTATTTCAAATTACAAATACGAGTGAAATTAGTAACAATTCAGAAATACATGTGGCAACAGCGCTCTTATTTATCGCGTCATTCGATCTGTCAAACCGTTTATCGCTTCGGTTAGGAAGAGAAACAAAATACCGATTTAACTGACAACCGATAAATGCAACCGAAAATTTATAGGTACCGCAAATTTTTCGGTAGAGAAATAAAATCGCACCCCTGTACTCATGAAACAGCAGATTTTTAATGTTTTCAAAATTGATTGATTGTTGATTCTTGTAATTTAATGATCTGCCCTTTACCTTACATCTCGTTTCGTAAGTTTGCTCTTTGGCCTTAAAAAACTCGTACGCGTAATTTTTAGGGCCTCCGCTCGAATGTGACTACTAACCCCATACTCTGCTAACTCATCCGAGAGATCCCCCAGAAAATCGCTTACAGGTGGAACCCAATCCCCTTCTTTTTTTGTAAAGATAATGCTATCTGTATCATAATAGAGGACTCTTCGGTCGAGTTTTTCTACGTAGTTATACACAACTAACCTAGCGACGGCTGTGGTGTATGCAGCTATCGCGACGTTAACAGTTTTTAAAGGACTAACATCTTCCTGTCTAATTCCCAAGTTGCCAAACAAGACGTCGTTGTTAATCACAGTCAAACTGTGAATATCGACGCTGTGATTTGTAATTAATTTAAACAATTCCAGTAGCTCATCCATTATGTCTGCCTTGTCGGCATTCTCCTTTTGACCAAATTTACCCCAAAAAGAATTTAGCATAAATTTGGCCAAAAGTCGCAACCCGCTATTTTGTGAAATATTAGACTCGTCGAGTTCTATGTTTTCGCGCTCTTTGTACTGTGCAATATATCGTTTTTTATCCTCATCCGACTTGCACCATTGTGGCCAACCACCACAGTCTTGTTTCAGTTTTAAAAAGTTATTAACGTACTGAGTGAATAAACCATCGGTGTCGGTATCTTTGTTGTACTGAATAGTCTTGTACTCCCATACCTCAAAAATCTCTACCACCTTATAACTACACTCTACAGCTTTGCGTAGTTCGTCGGCGACGAAGGTACCGAGGGAAAGCGCGACACACTTTTTGCACAAGGGGAAAGTTAGTTTTCCGTTACATCTGTAAGGTAATACTGGATGATAAAGATTTTGAGGCGGGCGTACGCAACATTTGATAAAACCATCAACTGTGCAAACGTCGACGGTTGAACGCTCTTCAGGACCGACGTACATTTTTTTCGGATGGTCGATCGGATATTTGCAGTACTTATTGACGTACGGGTATAGCGAGCATACGTCGTAATATAAAATGGTTTCACCATCTTCATGTTTATTATAAAGTTTACAGGCGTTGGTAATGTTCTTGCCCGTTGAACTAGTGACCCACGTCAACCATTCAATCGATTGTGTTGAATGTTGATCGCTGAGTCAATAACCGTTGTTAGGTATTATGCCAATAGTTTCTGCTTTTAAAAAATTTTTCTGAAACACCAAATAACAAGCTGACGCAATAGTTAAGCATTCTAAAGAAGGGTCGACATTATTTGTTTCCAAAAAGCATTCTCTAAATTTAAGACA